CCTCCACTCACTCTCTCTCTCTCTCTCTCTCTCTCTCTCTCTCTCTCTCTCTCTCTCTCGATCATGTGTGAGTGCAACTGCACAAGGAGGCCAGAGATGTCAGACCACTCTTGGAACTGGAGTCACAGGGTCGTGAGCCACCTGGTGTGGGTGCTGGGACCCACACTCAGGTCCTCTGCGGAGCAGTACACACTCTTAATCACTGAGACATCTCTCCAGCCCCAAATAACTATTGCCTAGATGGGCATTGTCCCTTATTAAATGACTAATAGAATGCGATAGACAATCGTGCATTTGAAACACAGGAAGCTAAGGTAACGGCCTTTATAAACCCCGGTTATAATTCACACTATGCTGTTCTCTGAAATCTTCAGTGTTTAACCTTTCACATTCTGATCCAGAATCTTTCTCAAAGTTATCTTTATATATGCTAAATGGATAGTGGGTATCAAGAAGAAAAGTACAGTTACATATTAGCAAGTTTTATCTTAATTGACAATAACATTCAAAATGCCTGTATCAAATTATGTTGCTGCTAATAATATTTGAGTTTCCATTTTTAATGGCAAATGCCTGCCTTTAACTATTATAAACTTTCTAAATTTTAATATGATTATTATGTAATAATTGTTTGTTCTTTCCATTTTTTTCTTCCTATTCTCTATGGGACTAAGGTTGAAACCACATGAAATCTACATACTAATTTGGGAAACACTGAAGTCATTCACCACTGAGTCTTTCCATCCACAAACCAGGAACTCAGTACTTTCTCTCCTTTCATATGGTATTCTGCCTTCCTTTTTTTCCCCCTTTGAGACAAGGTCTTACTAGATTGCCTGGATAGCTAACCTAGAACTCTCTACGTAGACCAGTTTGGCCTTTAAAAATGACTCTCAGGTCATTCCCCAGTCAGATTGGACATTCCTAATAGACAAGAGAATTACTGGATTTCATATGTTAATCTTGTATCAAAATAATTGAACTTGTTTTCCACCTAGTAGTTTCCAATCCACCCTGCTTTGATCGCATTTCCAGAAAAGAAATACTGAAAGACACATGTCAAATTTTCTCCTCCTGGCAGCAGCGCATAACACTGAGATGGCCATCTTAGTCTGCAACAGATGACAGCATCGAATCTACATCCTCCAAACAACCTAACGTAACAGCCCCTCCTTTATTCCTAGGAATATTGAGAGTATTCTTAGCTTAGTGTGCTTAACCTTCATGTTAAACATGACTGTTTAATTATGAACAGCACATTGTTGGTTTTTTCAAGTAATTCTACATATAAGGAAAATTTTCTTACTACATATCAAAGCCCACCTGTTTTTTGTAAATTTTCAGTTGTTCTTCAAAATGGGCACAGAAACAGTCAACCGTTTCCTTCTCGCCTGCAAAGAAGCAATATGAGAGCTATTTCTCCTTCCGGTGCTGAGGCAGACGAATGCCTGCCCCATCTTTATTCTTATGTTTTAATAATTTATCGACAGTTTAAATGTAAGACTGTCTAACCATCATTTTAAACTAAAATTTGTTTTTTTCCTGTTAGACTGAGATAAAATATATCAGAAAGTAGCATCTGTGAAATTATAAGCACACACATACAGGGCCATACATGGACTCACTTACACCCTACCTTCCAGTGAGGGTTTCATGTGACATAAAAAAATAAATAAATAAAGATGATATTTGGTACTCAAGTTAAAATATTCTAAGAAATTAAATCTTAAATGTTTCAATCTTTTTTTTTTTTTTTAAAAAAAAGGTGTTCAGAAGAGCACCTGAGGAGGCATGTCTCACTGACTTCCATTTAGTTAGCACACTCCATGCGCCCCTCTGCAAACACTGGCTACAGTCATCCTTTCCCAAAGTTAACTGCTCTCAAAGGTAAGCGTCAAGGCAATAGCAGGTCAGAATCTGTGAGGTGAGGAGCTCTCTCTCCTGCATAGCTAGAGAAATGGCAGCATCCAGTAAGGACTTAGTCCTGTGTCCACTGCTTCACCTCTGTCACCTGTGAGGGCACAACACCCGTGAGAGGTGTGGCTTTTGTCCCTGTTGTTTTTAGCACAGGGGACTGAACAGGGCCTCCAGCAGGCTCATCGAGGAAACCATACCTCAGCCACATCCCAGCCCTGAGAATTACGGTTTTGAAATGAAACAAACTCACACCTATCTGGCACCTGATTTTTATTTTAAAAATTCTTATAGAAATCTTCATATGCAAACCAAATAATTGATGTGCTTACTTTTGTCTAGCCGAGGTCTTGGATTATAGTGATACCCAACCTGACTCCAAAAGACGGGCACAGAGCCTCGAGTTTGAATAAATGACAGGGTGTGATTATGAACATGAATTAACTGCTCAGTCTCCACATAATTTGCAACATTTCCGTTTTTATCCACTCCTCTTCGTTTATAGCGCATTCCTGAAGGAAAATTAAACAGAAAGCAGGAACAGTTATAAAAACATGCTTTGCTTGGCTTGGTGCCAAGCTGTGGCACATGCTTGATATTTCAGTGCTCTGGAGGCTGAGGCAAAAGAATTGCAAGTTCGAGGCCAGCCCATATATGCACAGTGCATATATAGCAAAACTCTCAAAATGAAAGAACCCTGCACTTAGTCTGACTCGAAAACACTTCCTAATTAAATGTCTGCAGGAAAGTCTTGGAAGCCTATATATAACCCACAGGTAAACAACAACATATTCAAGATCACAGCTGTGCCCATCACTGCTAAGTTGAATCCTCTGAATGAAAGACAATGTTTTCCCTAAAGGGGTTCGCTCTGGAAGACTTTATCACTGTGACACAGGCTTTTGGTTGGAGCCCTGTACTCAGACACATCCAAGTGACTTTCTTATCTTGTGTATGCACGCACGTGCTGTTCTGTCTGATTTGTTAACTTGCCCCTCCTCTGCTGCAGAAATCGGTCTCTAATTGCATCACAGTCTTTGGAGTTTGGAGCTCACTGTGCTTTCAAGTCCATGATTGCCATTTGCATTTCAACACTTCTCGCCTGAATTTAATTTGCATGCTCGTATGGTCCCGCACTCACCAGCTCTGTGCCTACTTCTGCGAGATATGAGAGCCACTAGAAACCGTGGGTGAATGTCATCTACACAGGTGGACTCCTGAGGGGGGGTCTCTGGGCTGCTCTTCTCCTCGTCGGATGACTCGTTGTAATTAACCACAAGCTCTTCAATCTGCACAAAACCCTGGATAATGGGGATGATCCAGAAGTCCACATCCGGAGTCTAGAATGGAAATGAATGGCATGCTGTCCACGTTCTGCACAGCACTGCTACAAGCCTAACCCAGTATCAGTCAGCACATACTGCCGTCAGCTTGCTGCCAGCATAAGCCCTTTCCCAACCCCCTGTCTACTTACTGAACACTAGGGGAGGGTGAGAGCAAATGGGCCTGCCTTTTTCTCTACAGGGATCTTCCTAAGAGCTGACCGACAGGGCACACAGCACAGGTGCCAGACTGTTCCATACAAATCCAAGCTCCACCACCCACAAGCTCACTGACAGAAGCTCACTCACCTCACTAGGCCTCAGTGTCCTCCTCTGTGAAATGGGACTACTACTGCCTGTTTTGAGTAATGAACAGTACATGCAAAGTGAAGCACAATGCCTGGCAAGGGTAGTTAACAAATGTAGCTCTTATAAAGAGTTCCTCTTGGCATAAGAAAGCAAAGCCTTAAAGCTGATTTTCAATCCTCAATTGTATTAGCCTATAACAAAATGAAATCAGTCCTGATCATTTCATTACAAAACACAGTTTACTCTTTAAAAAATAAAAACCTACTTGTTTATTTCTAAGTGTATGTGCCTGCTTGTCTCTGTGTACACCAGGTGCTTACAGTGCCTGCAAAGGCCAAAAGAGGGTGTCAGGTCCCCTGAGATTGGAGTTACAGGGGACAAGGAGCCATCTTGAGGGGCTAGGAACCAAAGCCTTATCCTCTTAAGAGGGCACAGTGCTTTTACCCACTGAGTCATCTCTCCAGATCCCTACAACTTTTATTTTTGAGGTAGAGTTTCTCTCTGCAGCTCAATCAGGCCAAGTACCAGAAGGGCAGGCATGTACCGCCACGCTCTGTTTCGTCGTTGTCACTTGTGGGAATGAAACCAGAGCCTCATGAGTGCCCAGACACTCTGCCCTGGGCTTTCCCTCAGCCTCAGCTTCACTTCACATCCCACTTTAGAGAAGCCCTTGCTTCACCAGCCTAAAATCCAAACAGTAAAAAATATTTCCATAAGTGTCTCATCTAACATGTCCTCTAACTTAATTAGGAGAGTCCTGTTTAAAGTCAGAGAGTCTTTCTCCTGTGGCTTTAAAACTAAACACACTCATTTTTTAAATGGAGGACTGGGAGGTAGAAACGTGGCCAGAAGCTCAGTGCCATCCTCAGCTACAGATTAAGTTTGAAGCCAGTCTGGGCTACATGAGATCGGGTCTCAGAAAACCAGAATAAGACCAAGATACCCAGTCAACAATGAGTTTCTGGTTAAAGTAAAGTCAGGCATGGGGCACATGCTTGGAATCCTAGAGCTCACTGGAGTGCACTACTTGGTGCACTCAGGCTAGTGAGAGGCCTTGTCTCTAAATAAAGCAGGTGCTTGAGAGAGGACATCCACATGTACACATATATACACAAAGCCAAAATCATAATAAAATAAAATGGATACTCAAAATATTGTTTGTTTTGTCTCCCTGTGTAGCCCAGCCGGCCTGGAACTCACAATCCTTCTGTCTGGACTTCCAGAGTGCTGGCATTACAGACACGCCCTATCATCCCCATTTTCAGCATCAGTTTCAAATCTACCCTTCCTTTTGTCACTGTGCTCTTCAGAGCCCATTCATTTCACAGCTTCATTTTGGTATGTGTTCTCTTTATTGGATCCTTGTAAGGTTAGGGTTGGAAACAATGAGGTAAAGGTTTGGCCGGCATCAAACTGTGTTCCTTTTTACCACTATTCTCACTACCTGTACTTTTGGTCTAGCAATCAATCCAAGATTCTTGACAGGAACATAGAAACACATGTTATCAAATGTCATCTTTATCCTAAACCCCTCAGCTTTAAATAATGTGATGGAAGCTCCCCAAACACTGGGTTCCACACTGCCAGCATAAAGACAAATGCTCACCATAAACACCCTATTCATCCCATCACT